AGAGAGAGAGAGAGGATTGGAAAGAATCACGGGGCCGCCATGTAATCAAGGAAAGTAAAGAAAGTAGAGAGAATGGTGGGCAGACATTGCATCTTTAGTATTTTTAGTATTGTTTTAGACACCGCTTTTATACCTTACTTTTCTCAATTACTCTTCATTTTAAAGCAATATCGATACATACGCTTGTTGTACAAGTCGATAAGAAACATCGATTGAAAAAGATAAAACGTTGTCATTTCATAAAATTAGTGTACAACGTTCCTCCTCCTCCTCTTCTTCTTCTTCTCGATCTAAATGGAAATACAGCGGCGTGAAAGTCTAAATGGCTCAAGGGCCGATCCATTTGTCTCTAGCACGTGCAAAAGAGCGGCGAAGAGACGCGTAAAACGCGAGTGTACGAGGGTCCGAGTAAAAAAGACGCGTAAAAGGAAGGAAGAGATGAAGATTGAGGAGCGAGCGGTGGAATTGGAGAGGTGGTGGGGGAGAGAAGGAGGGGGGAGAGGTATATGAGAAGGAGGAAACGCGAGGAGACGAAGGTGGATGGGACAAGAGCCATTCTGGTTTGTGGGCACAGCCGTTGCCCGAAGCCCACAATTATGATAATAGCCCCTGGTCCTGAGCCTTGTTAGCCCAAGAGTGGATCCCAACTCCTTTTATCTATATCTTCTTATTCTCCAGTCTCACTCCCCTTCACTATGATTTTTTTCTACTTCCAAGTTTTTACCCCTTTTGCGAATTTCGCAACATCCGAAATTTTCCACTTAAAAAGAATTTTCGATCGATATTTTTCGTTTACAAAAACAAATAAATTTACAATTAAGAAGCTGAATTTTATTTAACGGCTGCTTCGTATACAATTAAAATTGTACGCGGACAAACGAACGTTTCTCTAATTTGGTTAATTAAAGAAAGCGAGAAAAATCCATATTTTCCTGTCCTCCAAAGTGTTGAAAACATGGTTTCCTTTCTCGCGTGTTCGGTTGACTCGGAAGAAAGGAGACTAGGAAAGGTGAATAAGAATATAAAGCGCGACGGTGGAGGGGGGAGGAGAGGCAAAGTGTCGGCGCGAGGAGCACGCATACTGTGTGTACGGTCGCGTCTCTTTCCTTCTCTCTTTCTCTCTCTCTCTCTCTTTCTCCGTAAACGTTGTAAAAGGCGATAGGAAACGGGGCACGCTTTAATCCACTTTTCAGCGTACCGTCGGGCCTTTTGATTCGACGCGGAAAGCGTTAATTGGAGACTGCGCCACCGCGATCGGCGCAAAGAAAGCCTTTCAAAGCCGAGCTCCCCTCCCCTCCTCTCCTCCCCCACGTCCCCTCCACGCGATAGTGGAAGGCGCAGCTTTTTTTTCCAGGACAAGAGATAGAGAACGCCGTTACCTTCCTTCTTCCACGCGCGTCTACCGTTTGAACCGTCGCGTCAAAGCGACCTCCGCGGAACCGTGATGACGTTTCTCGTTCGAACCTCGCACAATTTTTACCGCACACGCTTCTCTGTGCCGTTTCTCTGGCTCGTTACGTTGAGCCAGGCATCGTTGCAAAGGCTGGGCGGAGGGGGGGAGCGGAATAGATCGAGGACGAAGGCGGACGATCGATACGCGAAATTTTTACCGACCTACGATAAACGCGTAATTCCGGAAATTATTTTTATCGTTGAAACTATTGTTTTGTTAATTAAAACCTTTTCTCGTACTGTAACGAGTCTCGTGATGAAAATTTCGGCCCAAACACGAATAGCACGAGCGACACTCGTGAATTTTCGTCAGTCTTCCAATCTTGATTTAGTTCTTACGAAAAGATTCTTATCTAAAGCAAACGTTTTAGTGTTTTTGTACTTTAGTTTTTCAAGTAAGATTTGATAATTTTATTTTTTGAATAAAAATGCAACGATATAAATATTTACATGGAAGCAATCCAGTAATAGTGGATTTGTGCCAATAATGCAGGACTTTTTAATTTAGACGGTCAGAATACTGTAATTTCTATCAAAGTATTCTTATTTATGAAATATAGTTTTGAAACAATTATTTATTAAAAAATAATAGATTTATATATTTATATATTTAAAAGAATTATTGTTTACGAGAGCTGTAAAGCAAATGACCGTATCACATTTATTTCTATACTTATATTTCGATTGCAACTGTTTTTTCGAGCATCACTCTGCTCTGTTTAGCCGTGCGTTAATCAAAAAGAATCCACGTTCAATTGGATCTGTTCCAATTTTTTATAAAGTAAATACAAATACAAATTTTTAATTAAATCGTAAAGTACTTTTTTTTTTTTTTGATTATTTTGGACATTAAAAAGGCGTGTGTGCACGAAATAGAAATATAAAATTTCGTGGTTTTCTGAATTATACGCACGGTAGCGATACGTATAATTTTGGATCAAACAGGAATCTGGATGATGGCACGATACAGCGGTGTACAGTGGGATTGTTTACCCAGATTAGAGCCGACAAAGGAAACTGTTCTCTCTTCTTAACTCTCGTCTTGATTTAAGCGATGCGCTCCCTCTATTTGCTCTAGATTAAATGGAGTTTCGTGGCGCAGCCCTCTCGACGACGATATCTGCTACAGCTGGTTTATATTGTACATTGTATTCACGGGAGGAAGAAAAATAGTTGCGATTCCCTCGCTTGCATTACGTACTGCATATCGTAACGATGTGAATTTATCATGAAGAAATGATCCGAACCGTGATCTGCCGTTTTCGCGCGCAAATTTTTGATTAATAATAAGAAAAGTGTTAAAAATCGATTAAATTGTTCTGTCCAATCTGTGTGGTAATTTATTTTATATACGTTTTCAAAAATTTCAAAAAGAACCAAAAATATTTTTTTCTTCCCGTGTATGCAATGCACGTGATAATTTGGTAACGGTTATGCATTATGGTAAATGCTTGTACGTCGTGTTTCGATATTAAACTCGTGCGTACATCGATCCCTCGAGAATTCTCGATAAAGCATAAAGTAATGACGAACCGTATAGGTAATCGGGGAGATTAACTTAATAGCTGGGGTGCCTGGAGGAAAAGGTAAAAAAGAAGAAGAAAAAAAGGGAGCGAATTTGCGTAGACAGACAGGTGATAAACAATAAAAACGAAGGATTGTACTGGAAAAGTAATTATTGTTATTATCACGCTTTCGCAAACTTTTCAGTCAGTCGGTGAATTTTCGAAAGAGCTCCGCTCCTTCTTCTCATTTTTCTCTCTTGTTGTTCTCTTCTTTTTTCTTTTTCTCTTTTTCATTCGCTCGTTTTCTCTGTTTTGCCTTGTTACGGCAGAACTTTTTGTCTCGGTTCATCTCTTCGGTCGGTAATAATGACGTTCGGTAATCAGGTGCATCCTTGATAGATTAGAAGAGGGGGGAAAAAAAAAAAAGAACGAAAAAGGATCGTGATTTGTAAACGGCTACGTGGGCGTTCTCGGTATCCATTGTTGATTTCAAATTATGTAAATAACGAAGGCAGAAATTATAGACGAGTATACCGTGATCGAATTTGCCGTTTTTCGGCCGACACAGCAATTTAAGTTTCGCGAAATCTAGTTATAGAATTATTCGAGTGTATGCAACGTAAAATATTTAATTTTAAAATATACGATATTATGGAATTGATAATTTACAATTTTTCCAAGAATGATTCGTTAATAAATGATTATTTCTATGTAAATTTACAAAAATAAGGATTAAAAAGTGTGTATCAAATTTTTAAAGCGAATTAAATTGTAATTATAAAATATAATTGTTAGAAAAAATTTAATCTATTTTCGCGAGGACGAAATCATCGTAAAATCATCCAGTTGCGGATTATAAAAGCAGTACTTGTCGCGAAAATGCAACAAGTAATATTCGAATAGTAAACGAAACAAAAGCGCGCGCTGCGACTGATTCACGAGTTTCGTATTGCGATTTTCTTCTCTAAAACCTTAACATGTAGAATGCACGTCGATCTCCGCAATGAATGATTGATATCCCCAAAAATTTGATTCGATTAATTTTAATCGAAGATTTTAACGATTTGATCTACTATCGTAATTTTAATTCGACGGTCGGTTGTTGTTGCATCGAAAGGCCGAGGCCATCCGATCCGTAGAACGACTAGAACAAGCGTTTCTCGTGGGTGGACCTCGGTCATGATCGGCCAGACTCGGCCAGTTTCGGCTCAACGAGCCTGCGTCGACCCCGGTCGACCCATGGCGGTCGGAGCACACAACTGGTTGTGGCTTTCACGAGGCAACTACACCGCGCGCTCATCCTCTTCGTGTGTGCATTCTCGCGTCATCTTCTGTTTTCTGTTTAATCCCGTTTAGTCCCGTAGTCCAGCACGCGTTGTTTCGTATAACATATAAATATCGTGGAAGGAATCCGTCAACTTTTCTTAATTTTAATATTCGAAATGCCGTTATACGATTAATCGAGTTTCACGCGAACTGTCAAAGAATTTAATTCGCCAGAAGAAATCGTGCTGTAACATCCGTGTAGCTAATCTCATCCGGTCGTGAACGTTATAGTAAAACGAGGTGCTGTCACGTGCTCTTGCACCCGTGAAATCGGCACCGATTTACGATACTTCGTGGACCATGAGTCGTGTTAGAAGACTTTAACGTTGTTTACAGCATAACGTAACTCGTGTTTACGGCTACTCGGTACGTACAACCGGTTAAGCACGTGGTGGACAGGATGCTCCTAAAATTGGCAGTGTTGCTGTTCGTTTTCGTGCGGCCAGGTGCAAGTTATTTCAACCTTTTTCTCAGCCAAGCAGAAGTGCGGAAACTAATGGGTAAGCAAAAGTGTTCGATTCGTTTATGCTTGTATTCACGCTTCTACTATGACGCTGTGCTTTTTCGAATATATATTTCCTCGATTTAAATTATCGTTTGTCGAACATCCGAAATATTTCATTCGTGATTTTTATAGCGTTATAATGGACATGGAAATTTTATCGTTACTTCAATCGAAAAGACATAATATATTCAGAAATGCATCATTGCTTCGAACAATTTATATTACGATCTTGCATTATGTTATATCTATTTACATAATTTAAAACGGTACGATCGAAACAACCCGATAAATCTATTAAAGTACACACCATAGTTGAACGGTCTAACTACCGATCAAAACTATTAAGACAGTGATTAGTGATCAGCGTAATAATTGAGTATTGGACAGTGAAGAATCGTAGTTGGCTAGTACTATCGACATTTCACGCCTGCTAATGAATAATTATCATCACGTTACACTACTTATATGGCAAACTTATTACCTTCATTAATGATTAAAATTCCATGCAATAACAAGACTAATAATCATCGGGCTAGTCGATATATTTAATAGAGCATTAAAATGTTATGGATCGAATAGAGATAATTTATAATATGGCATGACTGTTATAAATCCTTCTGGCATGGTTAATTTAATTTATCAGCATTACCGTGATATAAAAGCTAAAGAATATGTTGCGCATTAAAATTAACTCTCGTTGGATCCGTTTGCTTCGTTACGCATCTTGCTCTCTCAACGAGTAGCTTTTTTTTTTTAGAAATTATTAGGGGTTAAAGGTTATCCGTTAAATCTTATTTACTCGAAATAACAAGTCGCGCAAATAACGTTATAAGGATCGTTTCACGATTAGTATTAGATACTATCGTAGTAAATTTTGAACATTCGAACATTCGTATATGTACAAAATACGAAACAAATCTTTTCATTCGTTGCAAACTCTCGTACCATTTATCCTCTATAATAAATATACGTGATCGAACGAATCACACGAATGCTCATGGATTCATGGTTCAACGACCCATTAAAATCTCACGGACGACATGGTTGATTTTCAGGCGCAAATCCTAGCTGACGATACTCGATCGTTTGTTCCATTCTCACGCTCCCGATTTTCATTCTTCATCCCTCCCTATCACGGGCGTATACCCAAGGCTTTTCTATTTTTCTTTTTTCCCCCCTTTCGCTCGTGGATTGCCGTTAGATCGCTCGCTTCCACACAGAGAGGAGAATCGTCGTCGTACCGGAAACGGGTAAAAGCCACTCGACGCCACCAACTTTCCAATATTTCCACGACAAGTTGCGCGGCGGCGGATAATTCGCTCTCGGCTCGTTGATCCGCGAAAAGCGCTCGCGAAGGGGGATACGATACGCGTTTTCGACGACACCTGAACCCGTGCGAATTGCCGATTCCGCGCGACGGGAGAGGCTCGCTCGCGCGTGGAATTGCGCGTTTTCAGCCACCACGCGTTTCACGCCTCGTTCGACGACACGCATCCGTGAAAACGGGAGGCCTCCTCCTTCTCCTCCTCCATTGGAACTGGAACTGGAATGAGTGAGTGAGTGAGTGTGTGTGTGTGTATGCACGCGCGCGCACACGTCAAAAGCTTCGCGCGAAATCGAATTGCGTTACAGCGGCGCTGCGATCGAATGAATCGGAATCGCGCGTTGTTTAGAGGCGGCGTTATTAATTGCGCCTATAAATTCGAAGCGTATTAGCGGCGCGCTCGTTGAAATGAAAAGGGGGATTGAACGTAGAGCTCGGTGAGCCGAGTCGACTACCACCGTTTATAGCCCTTTATTTGTTTTAGTCGTGTTTAATTCTGGATCGGTTAAAACAAAGGGCTTGTGCCAGAGCTTGTGGCGCGTATAGCGATTGTAAAACTCTCCTTTATTTTCTCTATCGTACCAACTACCACATCACTGTTTCATCGATAACCGCGTGGTAGATCGGGATCGGTCTGAGAAAAAGAAAGAAGTAGAAAAGCGGAAAATAAAAATATATCCAAAACGAGATTCCTACGAAGGATAAGAGCTTATACCTATATGCACACGAGACGCAATAAAATATTATAACGAGGTCCTTGTTACAGCACATGGGGTGGCGATCCAACAGGGCCCGGCCTACTAGTTTGTTTAGACACCGAATAATCGACAGTCGCTTCTCTTCGTCTTGTTTTCGTCGTCCGGTTTCTATCTTTTCTCTCTCTCTTTTTCTCCCTCGTTCTCTTTTCTCATTTCGGCCGCACGGCGAGGCGGGCCCGGCCAGATAGTGGCCCCCGATACCGATTTCGGTGGGGCCCCAACTCGCCTCGCTCTCCATATGGGCTCTCGAGCTTTTTCGAGTATTTTCGTGCGTTCACGCTTCCTGGAAGAAGGTTTCCAATTTCGGTATTTACCATAAGGCTTCCCCCCGCGCGAGCTGGTTGACAACCGTGGCAAGAAATCGATTCGGGGCCCGTTCTCATACCGTTCCATTCCGTTGCCTCGCTCGTCGACGTCGAACGATGGGGCGCCGATGAAGATATTGGCCGGTGATTAATTACTTCTGGTTATCCGATTATCCTTCTCGAGCTCTAGTTCTCTAGTGGCGAGGCAAAAAATACGCTGTGTAAATATTTCGTGGTATTTACGCGTGGTTATTTCTTTTATACCTGAAAAAAGAACAGGGGAACGTTTATTTACGCCGAACGTTGATATTTTTTTTTTTTCTTCTTAAAAAAGGGGAGCCGAAGGTAGCGCACGACTCGAAAAATTTTCGAGTTATCTTCAGGTGTTACGGTGCCCGTGCTACCACTTTCGTATCGTGTACCATCCGCCACGGATAAGATAACTGAATTCCACCGGTGCCGCGTTACATTCCTACACCTCCTGTTTCTCACTCTTCTCGACGGAACAAGTAATTACGACCGTTGATCGCTTACGCTCTCCCTTCTCTCTCTCTCTCTC